CAAAGTACCCTCTGGCATTTCAGGTTGAGAAAATGTAAATAAAGTCAATCATGACCATTGAGTCAACACTATGTTAACAAAGAGCCTCATGTATTTCCCTATAATGGACAAAATGTAATCTCAGGGCTCTCTTAAGACTCTAGTGGCCTTAAATGTCAACAAAGTGCCCTCTGGATGCCTCTCAAATGGTACATAAAGTAAAAACAAAGTATCTTCTGAAGGCTCTAGTGGATAAAATGCCGACTATGTGCCTCACAAATGCATTTCTAGTAGACAATATGTAAACAAATAATACGTTATAGGCATGTAGAAATATGTGAAGCTGAGGGCCCCTCTGGATGCCCCTTTAGTGGATTAAATGTAAACGTCCTGCTACAGTAGGCCCCCTCCCGATAGATCTAATCAAGAACGTGCTCTCTGTATGATTTTACCTGGTTTTGTATGTGAAGTTATGTTTGTTGCATACAGTAGCTGGCCTTATATTTTCATTCACCTGCTCCTTACACAGCAGTCCACTGTATGCACATCATTGTAATAGGCCTTTGTTAAATTTAAATACCTCTTTGATTGAGGGTGTGTTTGAACAGAGTATGCCCACATTTTGTCCCCTACCCTGAAGTGGTGAGCAGACACACAGACGGGGCAAACAGAGCGGTAGTGGCTGATCATTGCATTATTCATGCCCATGTAATGGCCCCAAGCTCAGTCCGTATGCTAAACTAGACCACGCACCATTGTAAGAGGTGAAGTTAGCCATCATGAAGAATGTGTTCCACTTCTCAAGAGGCATTTTCTCCACCTGTCTGTTCCACTCTATCTGCTCCGAGCTGCGTATTCAACCTGACACACCTGTACACGTGCCGAGAATCACACGCACACTCCTTTTTTAAGATTCAGCAGCACTTCTTGCGTCACCACATCCCACTCATGTCTGTGTCTTTTTTTCCCCCCTCTACCCCCCTATACTTCACTCCTCTGAGCTTTTGAAGCACTTTCCCTTTTTATTCGCCCTCCAGCCCTGAAAGGTTGATCTGTGACTGAGCTTGTTGCGTCTTTTATCGGCGTCCCGCAGCAGCCCGGTGGGACAAAGGGCAGCTGAAATGCCACAATGTCTCTATATTCTGTCTCTGTGCGGATGCATAGAGGCATGAAAAGACGATGACATTCAATCATCTGTGCCTAAAAGCTGGAATACAGTCGAGGATGGATAGAGGGTGAGGACACGAGAGAGGAAAAGTAGGAGGAGTACGGGGGCCTTAATTGATTATGCTAAATCCTAAGCTAACGAGAGGCTAGACAGAGGATAACCCGGGACAGACGGAAACTCTTTTTTTCTCTTTTTTTTTCTTTTGTCATACTAAATGAACTTCACAGTTTTGAGCGTCTTTCAGTATGGTTCTCCACTTATTCCTTAATGTGCTTCAGATGCAGCTGTGTCTCAGCTTAAAGGGCAAAGATCAAGTCTTAAATCCACTGTATGTGTATGTTTAGGTGTGTGTGTGTGCGCGACAGTGTGTGTTGATCCTGTATCCCTATCTACTAATCCGTCTCTGCTGTCTGTCTGATCCCTGACTCCCCCACAAATCTAATCTCACCATCCTTCTGCCCACCAAACACTCTGCCACAGTATTTGTGTGCGTTTTTCGAGATTAATGTATCAAAATATTGTTCAAAGCAATCAGCGCCGGACACTAAATGAGCGTGTTTCAACCGGTGGCTATGGATTTCTCTTAATCTACCTCTCACGCTGTGTCTGAAAGGGTTAAATTAAGATCTTTTTAAAACACAAATCAATGCACCAATGAGCCTCGGAGGACATCGCATTGTTACCGTCACCAATGACCTCCCTCTATTTGGGAAATTATTCCTAACTACGTTTAATGCCTTGATGCAGGACACTTTTAAAATCAATAAGCAGTGCTGTCCTTCCTCGAAGGTAACTCCTTCAATATAACAGTCTATTTGTGACCTTGACTCTAACTATTTGAGCAAGGTTCTCACTCATTTCTTTATTTCTGATTTTTATGAACTGTAGGCTGAATACCAGTGAAGCGTTGATTCGCCAAAGCTAGCATAAAGTCCTAAAATCACCAATGGTTTAAGATTAATCTCTTAGGGAACATTCATGGCTATTCTTTAAACATTTGTTGTGATATTCTGTGTGTGCTGTAGCTTATTTTGGTGCTTAAATCTCAGTATTTCTAAAGCAGAGTTGTGTGAGCTTCATGTACTAGCTAGTGTATCAGCCACAGTGGATGGCTGCCTGTTCAGCCTCTTTAATAAGGAACTGAAGAGGGGACTGTCACACAAGCTAGGCTACAGTTTTCTGGAGACAGGGCCGATCTAACATAGCTTAGCTGAATTTTAAAGGCTCTCACTTAATATTCTGGCGTAAAATTAATTTAGGGTCAAACACCAACAGGTCTTGCTGCAAACCAGCGGCTGCTGGAAGAGAGACGGTGAGTTGTGTTTCGTCTCTTTGCTAAAGAAATCAGACAAAGTTAAAAAGATGTTTGGTGGCTAGTTCTGTGGCTAGGACCCTGTATGTACTGTTGATGAAGTTAGGTGCTGTTCTGAGCATTATTTGTGGCTATAGAGTGGCGTTTTGGTTGAGGTTTGTTGATTGCTCCTCAGATCCCTTTAAGTACTCATCTTGCTTTACATAAAGAATTTTTTTTTGTACGACTTGCAGATGTAACATGCATATTTGTGCTCCTGCATGCACCAGGATGAAGTAATCAGGTCTATGATGCTCGAGTCACTGAACAATAAAAATCCTTTCACAGAGAGATGTGCAGGTTGCCACAGCAAGTCAACAGAATTCATCTTAGGTTACCATAAATGTCAGAGGACATGCCATGCAAGGGCTTTTCAGACATTTCAGTTGAAACCGACCTGTCTCATTACTAACTTAACAACTATGACCAGTCCGGTCTATCTGAAACTGATGGGAAATCATAACGAATAATTGCAGATCCAGATTCATCTACCTGAGAAAATGAATATGAGCTGACTGGAACAACACCAGGCTCAGCCTGAATGGGTTTCCTTGGCTTTTGGAGCCAGCCTCAAGCAAACACCAGAGGGACTGGAGTTTTTTTGCACTTCCACATTGATTCTATTTTTTCCACACTGGAGCATGCTACTCAGTTAAAACAAAAAACAAAACAAAAAAACTTGGACTGACTGATTTATGTTTCTTCCCTCTGAACCACAAGCTCTGCTCGCCAGAAAAGTTTAATTCAGACCAATCTAAAAATAAAATCTCCAGGCATTTCCAACATTTTTATTATTATTATTGTTTTTGGTCTTGACTCCAAATAGAAAAGAAGATAACTGAAACCATAAAACCTTTCCAGCAAAATAATTTGCAAGTCTCATTTCAGTGATTAAGAAAGACATTGCCTCGCCTCTGTCTAATTGGGAAAGGAGGTTATTTTGAATAAATGTGGGACACAAAATCAATGGAGCTTTGATCAAGCCGCTTCTTCAGCTCTCCGAATGTTAATGTCGCTCGACTAGCTCACTCGCTGCTATGGAAACTAAAGGGCGTCCGAAGGTCGCCTCACTTCAAGGAAGCATTAATACATGCATGCAGTGGGCTGTTGTAGGCCCACCTGGAGATGAAAGGAGGCGAACACAGGAGGAGGATGGAGATGGAGGCGGGGGTGGGAGTGTGGGGGGTGTTGGCTGATGGGGCAGATGGATGCAGTATGCTCATTCGCACAACACCCTCAAGAGGCTCACCAGCTCCCAGACTGTTTTTGTGGATTCAGTGAGCGTGTTGCAAAAGACAATCCCATCTTTAGCCTGACTGCACCCACACCTCTGCTCATCTTCTGTCTGGAGTGAAAGAAGATTTGAATATTCCTAACTCAGCATGCTGGGATTTTGTTTCTTAATCCCGCTACCCATGGCGGAGAAGCTGGAGACCCCGGTATCAGCACAATAAAATGTTAGATCGTGCCAAGAAAAGGATTGAAGGTGCAATGTGGGAAACTATCAAAGTCACACAGAGTATTTCTTGGAGTTTTATTACAAGGAAAAAAATCAAGATATCACTTACTCAGGGGAAAGAAAAATAAATCCCACTAACGCATGAGGAAAAATCAATGTGAGCCAATATGCAGGTATGGTGGTATTGAATGAAACATTTCATTGGAAATTGAATTGGAAAAAATGGTCTCTCTCCCTGAACACACTCCATACACAGAGTGTGTATGTGTGTTGTTTAACCAAGACCTTTTTGACCCTTCCTATCACCATCGCCATGAATATTGAAGAGACAGAGAAGCACTCTGCCTATTCAATACAGTCGAGAATTTTACAGTGGCATGTGCACTTTATGAAGATGTATTGGGAGCCCTGAGTGTGTGTGCGCCGGTGTGTATATGCTGTTATGAGGCTCGAAGGTGCTGTACCTTTGCTGTTATTTATGCATGTATCTGAGAGCTGAATCAATCTATCTGCATTGTGTCATGTATAGATGTGATGTAAAATGAAAATGGATCCGACCCTGAGGTCTATTGTCCCGGCGCTGCCTTTACACGCCCTTGACTTAAATGGTCCTCTAAATCACAGGCACAGACGCGGTAACTTGACGAGACAGAGAGAGATGGAGACAGAGAGAGGGAGTATGGGAAGAGGGAATTTTAATTGTAATTTCTTATTGCTGTCGAGGGAATTCTGTGTCATTACTTTAAATACTGGAAAAAATCTGTTAAATAGACCCACATTGCTACAGCACATATAAAGATTGTATAAAATGCTAAATATTAACGTGGAGCTGACTCATGAAAATAATCTTTGCAGACATAAAGTCATATAGGGCAAAGCTCAAACTACTAAATGTGGAATTACAGCAATAAGAGGACTGAACAGGAGAATATCTGAAATCGTCCAGTTTTCTGCATACTTGTTCTTCTTGAAAAAAAAAAAACCCTCACGTCTACAAGTGTGGTTGATCTTTTGGAGTGAGTCAAAATCTGTCCAGCAGCAGAAAACACCCACTCAGAGGGCCCTGATGTTCAGAGTTGTAGTCAAGTCACTAAATGTCAAATCAAGTCCCAAGTCGTAAGTCTGAATCACCAGTACCTAAGTCCAAATCAAGTCCTTTTTGTCAATTATCTAATATTTTGGATGTTTCCTTCATGAAAACACAACAGCCATTTGTAGAAACTGTACAACAGTGTGCAAGTTAACTTCTTTTTTGCACATTTGACCTTAGAAACCCACCAGAGTGGAAAAGAAACAGAGTTTGCCTGCAGCAGGTTGTCCTCTTGGCTCGTCTGCATATTCTCCCACAACACCCATAAGACCCGTACGTTTTTGTCCCTGTCTTTAATTACTAATTAATTTGTCTCCCTGTCGCCCTGTCTCAAGACGCGTCTCCTCATCCTTCCTTCTCCGCTCTTGCAGACAAGGACGGGCGAGGACGTTGGGATCCTGTGGTCCGCGAAGGGATTTCATTATGGCTTCTTTCCAGAGCGATGAAACCGAAGCAAACAAGGACTCGCACAAGGACAAACAACCTAACAGGCCGTGCTGGAGTTTTTCACGCTGTATTTTCTGGAGGTGACAATATCACGCAAGCTTCTGTGCTCATGTGGGGGAGGAAAGTGTTCTGTGAAGTACGATTTGGAGTACAATGTGTGTGTATGTGCCATTATGTTGGTCGCGTGGGACCCCAGACTTAGCTCCATCACTAATGTATGTCTGTCTGCTTCCTCCCCCACTACCACACTGAAATGGGGTCACATAGTGTCATGAACGTCTCTGCTGTGTGTCCTCTAGCACTTCATGCTGTACTCTGCATGTGCGCACATGTACGTGTGTTTTGCACCCTTCCTGATCATGGGCATCAGTGTGGGTACGCCTGTTCGCGGGGTTACTTGGAGGGCAGGGGTTGTCACTGAAGCGTGGTGCTGATTGGCTGATCGGACTTGTTTATGTTGTATCCCTATGCCCAGTGAAGAGGAACAGACCCCCTGCAGACCGTAGCCTCCACACCAGACAGTCCTCACACACCAACGCACTATTATTCCCCACGCTTTGGCGGCCCTTGTTACTATGCAGACACACTTCTGTGCGCCCACTTTCTGGACAGAAGTATGGTGTTCCTAACAAGTTGACAGATGTAGGCCATGGCTGGGGCAAGTGACTAAACAAGCTGACATATTATGCCAATAGTTTTTGGTTGGTTTTGCATCATGCACATAAATTTCACCAGTGACCTGTATTTTTTTCCATTAATTCTGTCTCGCTTAAGCTTTCAGGCTTTCAAAAAGCTGCTTTCAGTTTCAGCTCAAACGCAGATCCACGGAGCAAACATGCTTTAATATTAAAGGATTCACATGTGCTTGTAGGACTCCAACAATGCCACAGATTTTGCTTTAAATATTTGCACATGGTAAAACATGAGTGTTAGTAAACATGCCCATAACAGAGATAGGCCAGCTTTAAATGCAAACCCATGAAAATGAGCAAATTTAGGGACCAAAGTATCATTGGCACTATAAAGTTGCGTCTTCATGGATTAGAATATGATAAAAAAGTTAAATGTTTTCCACCAGCTATCTAGTTTTGATAATTACGGCCTATAGCTCAAGAAATGTTAATATCAATATCGTAAAACATTCAAATACTTTGTGTACGCCCCTATTCAAACAATATGAGTACAGTTTATCTCTCGGTACACACAACAACAATCAAGGTGGAGGATTCTGACCTGATTATCATCCGTAAGACAACCATTACCATAAGGTGCACAAGCAGCAGGAGAACTGTTAGGAAAAGTAGATTAAAAAACTTTCAAAAGAAGATTTTGGAGCATTTCATGCGTCCATCTGCTTAATAGAGATGCAGCCTTCTCTTCCAGCTGGATTCAGCACCTGCCCACAGCGCCAAAACTACTATGGTTGGCTGACCAGGAAATTACAGTCAAGTATTGCTTGATTGACAAGCCAACTGGCCTGACCTGATTCTCATGGAGAATCTGTGGGGCAATGGCAAGAAGAAAATAAATAAAAACACCCGGCCAAATAATACAGACAAGCTGGAGGGAGCTGACAAAGCGACTTGGGCTTTTTTTTATCGGGGATATATTGGAGACAGTTTGAGGATCTTTAATTAAATCATGTTTTTCATATTCATTGAGACAATCCTGTACAGTATCTGGGTAGAACAAAGAGAGTGTGTTGAAGCTAGAGCAGTGCGTGAGTTCACCTTTGCATATATAGGAGAGTAAATTGGCACTCGTGCGACAAGTAGAGGCAGCTTCGCATGTTTAAGTGACACTCTGTGATGCTAATTGAAAGGCCATGCATGCATAACATACACTACATTTCTCCCCTGCATAAGTCAACGCCTTGAATAGTACTTCATGTTCTCAGAAAGAGAAAACAACGTGGAAAGTGTGTTTGTGTCATGCATGAGGTTATGACTCTCCCTCTGAGGCCTGGATGATGTGATGATTACAGCTCACTCTGTCTGATGTCTTTAGGCGTGCCTCTTATGCATTTAAAGGCACGTGAGACGATGTTAACAGGGTGTGTGCTCTGGCAACAGCGTGAGTACTAGTTTCCAGCATTTCCCAGCATGCACAACAAACTTATTTTATTTATGAGGCAGCTAAAAAAAAATTGGTTTAGACTACGGAGTAGCCTAATGCAAATTGTTTTTTTTCCATCAATGTAGCAGAAATTAAAAGCGACCAAGGCTTTGTGTTTTTAATTGAGGTATGATTGAATGCATGTTGGTTCAGTGCAAATTGAAGCTAATGGCATATGCAGGGTCAAAGTCTGTTTCCAGTGATTGGATCTACCTTGATTGCTGGCTGTAAATTATTCAGCCAATCTCGCTTTTTCTCTCCAGCTACATGCAAAGTGTTCCTGACCATACATGGAGAACTTTCTCTAAGGTAGGGGACATAAAACACCGAGATTCCATTATAGTCTTCCAGCGCTGCAAATCACAGCAGCTCCATTCCTTCTGCTTCTCCTTGGAAAGACAATAAAATCCTCAAACTGAGTAAATATGAAGCGAATAGTTCAAGTGAAAGATGAGCTGAAAAATAACATGGAGGACATTCCTTAAACTGTAGCCAGGTCTCCTCTCTCACCTCCGTATCCTCCTTGATTTGACAACAGCTCTGTCAGTATGAGCACATGGAATCTTCCATATTTATCTCTGAAGACTCCAGAGCTGTCTCCGTGGTAACACCACTTAAACTCTGCTGTTGCCACCTGGATCCTGCCTGCTGTGACGCAGGAGTCACAGTCCAGTCGGTCTGTCCTGTAATATGACAGACAGAGGAAAATGTCCAAAGTGAGATGGGGAGGATTCAGGGAATGAGAAAGCCGACTACCAAGAATTCTTATTCTCTCCAGGCTAGAAACTGTTCAGTATTATGCTTTTTTTTTCTCTTTAGGTTAAGGCATTAGGTAAACTTTTTATTTTATTTTTTTTTTCTGTCGGCACATGTGGCTAAATCAAAACCTGTTGGACACAAGCTTCCCATTTACTCTGGGGGTTGCACAAGTCCAAAATTTGAATGAGCGAACAAGGTTTTGACCAGCAGAGGTGACAAAAAGAGAGTTTGTTTATTCCTCAGGCAGACCCACAGACAAAATAAGAATCTCTCAACGATAGAAGTAGTTTTATTTTACTGATGTAGAGAAGGAAAGCAAATGAAAAGTGATAAAGCACTGAAATATACTCACAATAAGGTCCTGAGGCAAGAACAGCCCTATTGAAAAAAGTCTTTCATTTGCATTAAAAGGAGGAAAAGGTCACATCACAATTAATGGGAAACCTGGAAGAGACACAGTGGTGGTGTGGTCCTGCTTTTGAAATTTTTAATTATAAAGCATCACTTAAAAAACTAAGTAGTAATTTATCTTTATGTATTCTTTTTTTTAATTTAACTTGACTCGACACAAAGCAAGCATTACTATCTCACTATCTCCTTATTACTGCCAGTAATAATGGCTCTAAAATTGAGTTTGTGGGAGTTACAAGTGCAAAAAATGTCAGTTGACACAGGTCCTAAATATTTGTGTTCTATTCCCATCCAGTCCAGTTGAGATGTGTTGTGTTCCCTTACTTTTGAAGAAAAAAGATGGTAACTCACAGATAATGGGAATTTCAAAGTCTAAAAAAATAACACCACACATAAAACATCTAAAAGTTTGGAAAAAACCCGACCTGAGCCAGTATTTTAACCGATGGGTCCCACCTTTTTTGTTCAATGTCATAATCACTTACTAGTACTCTGTCTCTCACCCTCCCTGCCACTTACTATTTGCTCCAACTTGTACACACAGACACATAAACACACACTCACTCACTGAACAGTCAAACAATCAAGCTTTGAGGTCCTTTGGCGAAACAGATTGTTTTCCAGTTTAAACAGGATATCCTTATTTGAGCTTGCTGAGTCAGACATTGACGCAAGAGGCAAACCAGCCTAGACATTTAAGCGTTTCTATAGTGACCCTCACCTCGGGCAATGTTCACTCATTTAAAAGGTGACATAACAGCTGCATTGGTCTAAATAACTGACCTTGTTGATCCGACTTGTCATTTGGCAGTTGTTCATTGTCACATTCATTAAGCTTTTACACCGTTACCTCGACTAAAGGGCCTAATAATGGACCAAAGGTTGACGCTTTCTCAGAATTACAGCTCTTCTAGTGGCTGGGAAAGTGATCACCTTTCTCTTATACTTACATGTAATGAGGGATATTACAAAGTGTTCCTATAAATACTTTGGAGGGTATTATACATGAGCAGCCTTTTTTCTTTCTTTCATTCAAGTTTTAGCAGAAGTGCTCTTTGCAAGCGGCAACAAAGCTAATAGCTAAGTCGAAAACAGGCCAATCCAGACAGTGATTAACTCATTCCTACATGATTCTATGCTTGGAGACTGGATTAAATCAGTGGACTGAGGCACCTTTGTATATGTGTCCTAATGTGGTCTGGAAGGGTTGCAGGCAAAGTGGTGCAGGTAGTCATAGTAAGGGACTATTTAAAGGGATATTCCAGCGTAAAATTAATTTAGGGTCAAACACACCGTAACACCAAGTTAGACACCCCCTCGAGAGATGGATGTTGCCGACCACTTGCTTCTCTAGTTATACCAACTTTCGTCACGACCACACAATAGCAATACACAGCAGTCTATGGAGCCACACACAAACCTCAACCAAAACGCCACTCTATAGCCACAAATAATGCTCAGAACAGCACCTAACTTCATCAACAGTACATACAGAGTCCTAGCCACAGCACTAGCCACCAAACATTTTTTTAGATTTGCCGAATTTCTTTAGCAGAGACTAAACACAACTCACCTACTCTCTTACAGCAGCCGCTTGTTCGTAGCGGGACCTCAACCAGTCCATTACGGACTGCAGAGGGGTGACACAGCTCAAGGAAGAACATTTAGGACCTTTCCTAATGGAAATGCAATCAGACCGAGACAAGGAAATGATAAAGTAATGATCATTAATGTTCTTCCTTGAGCTGCGTCACCCCACTGCAGTCTGTAATGGACTGGCCTGAGGTCTTGCTCCAAAATGGAAATCTGTCCTATGGTCTTCATCTAAAGTTGACCTTCTTTTTGGATTCACAGATGCCACATCAGGCACTTGATAAGGATGCCACCCAATGCCTGGAACATCACCCTGGAGCTCGAGGTGGACCCTGAGATTCCTGGGAAGATTACATGTCCCATTTGGCCTTGGAGCACATCAGGATCTCCACATGAAGAGCTGGATAGTGTTGAGGGGATAGAGGTCTGGGTTGACTTGCTGAGACTGCTGCCCTGCCACCTGATCCCAGATAAGCAAAAGAAAATGGATAGATGGGTGGATGCCTCTGCTTTATAAAAGAGAGGAATAACCTGACATGTACCCGTGCCAACTAAAATTAGAATTTTATCCCCATCCCCCCCAAAATGAAAACTTTTCAGTTTCATTATTTGCTGTTGTTTTTGCACTCTTGTCAAACACATACCCAGGATTTCCACTGCATGGGGAATGGCTCAGATCTGGAATGGCTCCAATTCCTACCAGATTAGTTTGTGAGGCGAATTTTGTGGATTACAGACAAAAGGAATCATGATTCACGGATTCACGTGTAATCACGGATAACAAGTTGTCTTTAGCCACATAGGCTAACAATATAAGCAGTAGATTGTGTCCTTCAAGAGGAGGAAATCTACTTCTAGACTTCTTGCGACACATTAACTTGAATGGTTACGATCAGCTACGATCGCGGATATGGCCTTTTCCTAGCTGTTCCGGATGCGGTGGACATTGGGGGACACAGAGTTCAAATGATTTGCAAATCATCACACTCTGTTTTTAGTGCCGTTTTTCCACTGCATCCCAGCTTTTTTGGAGCTGGGGTTGTATAACCAAGGAAAATATGATGAAGGCTTGGCTGAAGTAAAAGTAGAAACATATCAAGCAGTTCATGAAGAGAATTAAAGCTGAAGTCCAGCCAGACTGAGGCCTTGGGTGGTCCGGAGCAGGAATGTTGTTTGCCCTAATATAACCATTACCCCATGACACTAGCAGCACAAGCCTGTCTTTGCTAAAAATAATTCTGTGACTCGGTCCTGATGACAGAGCCGTAACATTTATGGTGCACTTCTGCTTATAGTGATGCACAAATGACCCACGACAAAAGAGTGTATAAAAGTGTAACCATGGTGCCCTCGTCAATGACCTTATGTCTTTCAGGTGGAGGTGGTAACCCGACATGCCTTTTACCTCGTTGCCATGGTTGCACCGTTCTTCCAAGGTTAAACTCTGACCCTGGAAGTGGTGTGGTGGAGTTTGCTGCAGAGGTGCAAATGAACTCCAGAGCCGTGCCAGTGTGAGTGTCTGTGGTACCGTAGGAGGGAGGATGAGGGAGGAAGTAGAGGAGGGTGAGAAGGAGAGCAGGAAAAACGGGGGATGCTGTGGGGACTGGCGTCACCACAGGGAGAGAGGGATAGAAAGAGGAGATAATGAGTGAGGAGACAGGGGAGAAAGAAGGAAGCAATCAAAATGAGGACAAGAAAGGGGGTTCAGTCAAACTGGTGGATATGAAAGGAGATTGGAGTTTGGAAGCAACCAGTGAGCAGATTAGTGGAAAGAAGGTCATGGGTGGCGAATGAAAACGAACATTAAAATCAAATTGATAGAAATAAAACCCAGGATAAAGGAGGAACTGGCGTAGTGAGACAGATGAGGGAGATGGAGAGAGGAGTTTAGAGCAGAGGGAAGGTGAGGGAGAAGGCAGACAAAATCCCGAGGATTAGTTCCACGCATTCTTGGCATCCATAGTCACAGCAGCACTCAAGGCTGGTGTGGTGATGGCATTTGCATTCACTGATGAGGGCTGACTTTTCCTGTCTTGTTTCAGAACTTCCTCAGTCTGTTTCGCTCCTTGCGTGCCCTTCTTGTCTTGTATTCCCTGAAGTTAGGGAGGATTAGCTCACATAGGCCAGCAAGAAAGTTCTTACATGACAGGATGAGTTTTACAAGTTGAACGTATCCTGAAAAAAGTAATAGAAATCTTCCTCGTCTTCAGGTTTATCCACATATTCAGGAGCCGACCAGAGGATCATCACAGCACAGATTCTACTACCTACAGGTTGAAAACGAACTTTTAAAATGAGAGATTTTTGTAGTTTTTGCTTCAAAGAATTACTAACTAGTCCAAACTTCAAAGGAAAAAAAATCTGCAGCACTTTTAAGAGGCTCTTCAGAGAGCTTTTACTCACAAAATGCTTTTTAATGCGAATTGAGAACAGCCTTGGACTCAGTTTGACACTTACATGTGTTGCTGAAAATCGTTTAACAGCACTGAATGCCCTTAAATGACGGACAAAAGCTTCACACAAATCAGACGACTCAGGGTCAATGTTGCATTTGAGTTTTAAATGATAGTGTGAAATGATTTAATGTGAATAATTAACATTTTTTAAAACATATTTTACTAAAAGGCAGATCTTTAATAAAGCAAGTGCACAAGATCTAATTTTGATTTCCACTGGTCCACCTGTAAGATGACCTTTGTAGACTTTCTGAAGTAGAAAGAGATGAATACACATGAAAATAAATATTGGAAACTGTGAGTGTTACATTTATAAACCCCCACGTCAGTTTAATAATGAAGAACAAGAGGCTTTCTTCCTAAATATTACAGACACAAGCTGGAGCCCCCTGTCTTGGTGCACGTGCAATATAATTAAATAAACACTTGCCAAGGACCAGTGCATCAGGCTAAATAACTTCTTTTCAGACTTATCAGAAATGATGGGGTTACTTATTGAAGTAATTCAGTAAAAAATGTCATTTTTAGAGGGTAGTTGCAAAAGCTTTAGATAAGTCACAAGCATTTTCTCATACTAATCATTCCCCCCGTTTACATAATAAATAAACTAAGACGGACATCAAGGTAATTAGAGAAAGAGTATTAATACTCCTGGGAACTTTCAAAATGTTCTTTTCTGTTGGTAATTTCTGTAAAAACTATGCTAAATCCCTCTTAAGTTGAAAGCTTGTAACAAGAACAGACCATTTGATTTGTCGAATCTGGTCTGAGGTTACATTATTGTTGACATAATGAATGAAGTGAATTGGCGTCCACCTGGCTTAATTTGTTTTTAAAGTATTAACATTTAATCCCTCCCAGCTTAAACCTTCTGGTACAAACAACTCAAAACCTCACAGCTGTGCCAAGTTTGGAGGCCGGTTGAGCAAGACAGCAGCTGATTACAGCCGCAGATTGTATTTGGTTTGTTGAACAATAGACCAGAACCACATGAGATATTTATTTCTCATCAGGGCCTGGAGGCCTTAGACACAATGCTGGCTTTACAGGGAGTCAAAATATGGTTGAATGGTTGGTATTAAGACGGCTTCATGTGAAACAAGCTGACATTGTTACCCAGCTTTCAAGCAGAGACTTGTTTAAGTAAACATGACACACTGTACTGTTTGGAAAGGGCAGAGTCAAAGTCAAGAAATAAGACAGGGTGAAAAACTGAGAATCAACACAGAGGTCAGTGAGAGTTTAGCCATCATGTGTAAACTTTCTCATATAGTTTAAATGTACAATTCAGTCACTTCTGCTCAAATTTGTTGGAATGATAATATTAAATCCAGTAAATCCAGTTTGTTTTCTTGCTCAAACATGAACTCTTCTCCTGAGTTCAAATGAAGGTTTGAATAATGATTAAAATGTAACAGCCCCATTAAATATTGATTGGACATTAGGCATTAACTTTGATAACAGTTGATCTGTTTACTCTGTTGAAAATCAGTATAAGTTAAAATTTTATAGTAATGTTAACAGTCTGCCTCCTCCTCCTGTAGTCTAAAGGTCCTTACACACCGAGACCGACACGAAATTACGAAATATTCTGAGGCAAATTTTGATGCGCCTGCCTATACACATCAAACGCAATGTGATTTTGTGACTCTTTGGGGGAAAAAAGATACGTCCCAGGTGGAAGCAAGAAGACTGACACAACAGCAGACTGACTGTTTTTCAGTTCTGATTAGACTCTAGTGTTGAGATGGCTGTCTGTCATGATAGCACGTTCTGAGTTGGGGCCAGTACCAGATAAGCACATTTAACTATAATCCATAAATGTAAGGTAACAACTGAGACCTAATGGTGCTGTGATAGCAACGCGATTGAGTTTGAGACAGTGAAAATACGTATGGTATGTTGTATCTGAACAGGTTAGCTTTCGAGCTAAAGTTACTTAGCACAGATGAAAGTTAAAACAAAGACATTTAGCAAACTGTTAAAGCACACAAACCATCGTCATATGAGAAAAACGACACTATGACTCTCCACAAGTTGTCCTTAAGGTCGTAAGGGAAACAAGCAGCCGGTCGGCCATGTTGGATATACTGGTGAATCTGACATCGCAACAACATGAAATGTGATTGGTCAGAAGTGGACACACAGTATGTGAAACTTAAAAATATTTGACCGTGATACAAAAAAATAAATGCCGCAATATTGCAGGACGGGACAACGTCACTGATGTGAACACTTGTATTGACAGGATACGGGTTCGAAAAAAATATTGACGTCTGAAATAATCGCACAAAAAAACACTCCCGGTGTGTGAGGACCTTAAATGTAACACATTATATTTTATAAAGATCCACAGACTTTTCAAATCAAGAAAGGATATGCTCTCGCTCAAGTTGTCTATGATCCATTTCACTATCTAAAGAGCCAAGTTTGGATCTTTCTCACAACCGCAGTTTGGTTGAGGTTTAGGGTTAGGGTTAGGGTTAGGGGGGTCCCTGTGATGGTAATTCAGGTTCTTTTTAGTGATCAAGATAATTTAATGCAGTAAGAAGTGGCTTTTTGAGGCTTCTCATATAGTCATTAATTAGCATAATCAGCACAAATTACTCTTGCATGGGAGAAAATTTAGCAAAGAAGAAGCAGATGTTGCTTATTTTCCAACACTAACTTTGCTCTTTGGGGGGAATTTTGATGTTTATCAATGCTAACTTGATCACAGAGCTCTGCTGATGCTAGAAGAAGGCCTTGGATCATCATATTTGAAGCGGGGGCCATGGACTAAGCTGGTAGCTGGCAGAACGAGCTGGAGTTGGATTCTGGCCTCATATTTCTGTAAAAACCTGACCCGCGTTCAAACAAACTGAACCCGATTGAAAGTGTTGTTGTTCTTGTGTATGAGGACACATTTATGTCACAGTGAAGTCAAATTAAGAAGTATTAGATTTGGCATTTTAAGGAAGCCATATAAAGCCTCTGAAGTCTTGTTTTATTAGAGAGATTTATTCAACACATAGATGGTGTTGTGAGTCAGAGACTGTAAACTCAGCTTTTATTGAAGTGAAGATTTGGTTGGTCTAAAAAAAATGACAGCAGACTTGAAATATGTCACCGTCACGCTTCTCATTGAGCCCACAGGACACACAGTCTTGTTTCTGCTACAGGTTTCCTCCCCTATTTCCCATATTGCCATTAAAATTTCTCTCTGCACTGCAGGTACTTTCATCCTTCCTGACAACAACAGCACATGTCCAAACCTCGAGCCAGACATGAAAACAAAACTCCACCGGGGGTCCAGTAAACCTATTAACCAGCAGAGGAGCGGAGAGTCATGTGGCTCAGAGCTGGGGCAGGTCACTGCCTCTCTAAGGTGGTGGTCCTGTTCAGGTTACTATGGCAACTGTCTGACAGGAGTTACATAACAGCCGATCAAACCCGTTCTACCCCACTGAGGGCTTTAACAATGTTGTCAAAAAAGGGGCGCCTGCTGATTTTGCTGAAATGTCCATAGGAAGTGTGCTGCGTTGAGCCTTTCTGCTTTTTTTCTCCCTTTGCTGCCACTTCTTGCTTTAAAATCATTCATTTTCTCTATTTTTTTTTACCAACAGAGCATTTTAGATGTAGATCCTGTTGTGCTTTTTAAACTCATGTGGATTTTGGATATGTTTGAAAATCTATAATGTGCCAGTACATGATCTGGGTGCCTGGCTGATGAGTCCAAAAAGCATACGGTCTGAGTGGAAACGTGCTGTTTTATACATAAATTGGCTTCTACAGCTGGCTAGCTATCTGGTTACAGCTTTCAAGGTTTTGGCAACTAGCATCTAGAATAAATATCATCCTTTTCTATAAAACATGGTATTGAGTTACCTTGTAGTATTTGTATGAAAAAAATGTGCAAGTAATTATGTGATTATTTTAAAGCTCCAATAGGTTTTTTTGGACATGAATAGATTGACTGAAATTTACATTGATATCTTTTAGTGAAAGCTAATGAGACCTTCAGAGTCAAAATTGATTATTCTTTTTCCAAATTTTTACTGCTCAAAACTGGTATGAGAGGGTAGGTGTCAGCTGAGCAGCTAAAGAAACAGCCCTGTTCTACAATTTCTACATAAAATATTAACAATAAATGACACATTTGATTGAAAAAAAGTCGCCAGGGTGGGATTTTTTTTTTTTTTTTTTTTTTTTGTCAGAAGTCATTACCTTAGTTTGTAGAGGAGAAGATAGATCTTGTCCAGAGGGGGGCACCAAAATTGACACAAATCAAAAGTTCCTGATAGGAGCTTCAAAGATGGTACAATGCAAAAGCCAATGACTGTGTGTATAAATTAGCCTGGCTGGGCCATCCAGTTGCGTGAATCACTTGCCTTTCCTTCCCACAACAGTCTGGACTTCGGCCAATTGGAAGCCCTAAAAGTGGGCGGGAGTACTTCCCTTGACAGACAGACTACTGTAACCAATCACCGTAACCAAACACCTGACGTCATCACAGTGCGCAACTGTGTTCCCTGCTGAGCTCTCAAGCATCAAGTAAAGGTTTGGTAATATTTCAACGTGTGCGAGCAAACAATGTCTTCTACGTCTTCTTCTGCGGATATAAACGATTTCTGCCGACTTTGCAAAGTCAACTGCAGAATTAACGGTGTTCTGAATGAACGGCGCTTTGAAAAGTCCCGCAGCATGTGTTAGACGTCACCATCTACACATGGACCAATCAGAGGCTGCCTTTCACTGTTGTCCGGGAAACAGTGGAACACAGTCACTGATTGGCCCGGTTATTTTCTAATCGCTAATACACGCTCCCAATTGGCCGAAGTCCAAACTGTTGTGGGAAGGAACGGCAAGTGATTCACGCAACTGGATGGCCCAGCCAGGCTATGTATAGATGCGTTTATATATATGTTTCTTAAATTCTTATTTATTTATTTATTTTCCAAGGTACATTTTGTATAAGTCCTTTTTGTCACTTGTGTCACTGCTCATTGTCCTTTTTACATTTTGCCTGTAAGGTGCCCTCTAGCTAGAGCTCACTCACTTTCCCAGATTTCCAGCCTTTTCCAGGGCATCGAGACATGGTTATGCAAAACTCTTGTCAACACAACATCTTCCATCCTCCCCCACTATGAAATATTTACAGGCAGAGTCCAACAGATTTGTCAGGAGAGATCTGAAAACTCTTGAATGATGGATCGGGAATGTTGTTTTGACACAAAGTTGGACTGAAAGACACTCAATCTATCATCGCTGCTGCGGGGATGTAATCAGATTGGCTACCTGAGAGCACGCTGTGTTGTAATGACCTCTAATCACTCAGTATGTTTTCATGAGTGCAGTCTCAGGGATTATTGTCCTGTCTTTTATCTAAGGAGATAAAACGAGCGCACGTGTCTTGGGCTTCTTCTTTTTTTGACTGTGCGGTTTTCAAGCTTGTGCCTGTGCATTCCTGTCAACAGGCCTCCCTCCGTTACCGCCGAACACTGGGGAGTCTTTTTGTGGATTCCAGATGTCATGGCAACAGGATGACAGTGGCCTCAAGCCCACGCAGTAATCGTCACTGATGAGGTAAATATGCTATACTCCGCTAGAAGATGTCAACACAAATCACACTTTCTTTTCACGAAACGCAACAACATAATTCTCCTGGTGGTAATGAGTCATCCACATGCAGTTACTTTCTGATTTGTCTCAAGTACTGACAGAAAATGGAGCCGGAGCTGTGTGCAGAAGCAGACGCCATCGGTTACTCAGTAGTGACAGAAATAAAGAATAAATACAGAGACACTCATCCATGCATTATTCAGAGAGTCAAAGCCCCACACTCGGGAAACAACAGGATTCAGTTCGCAAAGCTGCCAAGTTCGACACCTGGAGTTCTCACTTTTCTGTCGCTGAGTGTAATTAAAGGGAAACCATAGAAACCTTACATAATGTTGTCAAGATCTGATCAAGATCTGAAAGTCTACGTTCATCTTTCACTCATTTCTGAGAGCACAGAATGATAAATGTCGTTCATATTTCATTTAAAAAGCAGCTGCTGCATACGTAAAAGCCTCAGGTCAGAGCAGACAGAGAAGATAGACAGCTGGTGAGACCGGAGAGCCATCCTCCGCCTGTGAGGCCGCGTCTCCGCTTGAATTCACAGAAAGCTGTGAAGTCCCTAGAGACAACCACATCCACATTCATGTGTTGATGAACCAACAGTCACCAAAGGTCAAACATTTGAAAAACAAATGTCACTCGTCAGCATGCAAAATAAAAAAATGAAAAATCTGAGTCTGGATGCGATCCAGTTTTAAAGCAGTTGTTTGGGTTGGTGCACTCATACACACATACACACACAGACACACATGCACAGACAGACAGACAGACAGCTGGTGGTAAACGGTGTCTGTGGAGCATGGTAACCTGCTGCAGGGCTGGTTGTACAGTCTGGCACAGAACCATGGGGAGGGAGAGCTGGGTTCAGCCTGCGGGTGTGTGCATATGTAAACCAGATAATTTCATTGGGTAAATCCTAAAGTTTGGTTATCCTATGAATATTTAATAAATAATAACCTACCAGGTTTAGTTTTTTCCTCAGAAATATGATCTATCAGAAGCTCTATATTCGACTTATGAAAACAGGTTAAAGAAAGGAGATTGCACTGACGTTTTGAATCTGATATTCTCAGAGGCAAAAGGCGAGTTTCGGTTTTAATCGTTGTGGTTTAAAAGCACAGTGTTTTACCAGGGACATAAGGTGTTGCATTTGTATAGACATTTTTTCTTACTTAAGTTGAGCAACAAAGAAAATAATCTGAAGCATTAATGCAGTTAAGAGATGAGAAAGAAGAATATTAAGGCACAGTAAAAGATGTACGTTTAACACTGTAACTCCAACCAGTTTCCAAAACGACAGACTAAAACTTAACCAAGACCTGATGCAACATTTGTCATTTTCAAATGAATCCTGTCCTCTCTTTGTTATTAGTTTTTGTTGCTCAATATTCAGGGGAATACTTTAAATGTTTTTATGAAAATAGGTCAAAAAAAAAAAAGGAGATTGCACTGACGTTTTGAATCTGATATTCTCAGAGGCAAAAAGCGAGTTTTGGTTTTAATCGTTGTACAAGTGGTTTAAAAGCACAGTGTTTTACCAGGGAAATAAAGAGTTGTATTTAAATAAACAGTTTTTTTTTGTTTTTTTTGTAATTTTTCTTATGAGAGTCAAGCAACAAAGAAAATAATCTGAAGCATTAATGCAGTTAAGAGTGCAAACTGCAACTCCAACGAGTTTCCAAAATGACAGACCAGAACTTAACCAAGACCTGATGCAACATTTCTCATTTTCAAATGAATCCTGTCCTCTCTCTGTTATTAGTTTTTGTTGCTCAATATTCAGGGGAATACTTTTAATGTTTTTTAAGAAGCACCCGAGCAGTGTAAATGTAATTCTGGCCTGAAGCTCCATCAATATTCAGCTGTGTGGGAAGTAGGCAGCAATGTCCGAGATGATCGCGGTTATGAAATCGTGGATGAGTGGGTTATGCAAACGTTTAGGACACACACCCACACACTCTGACGCTCACACACATACACATTCACACACATACAGGGACAGAACAGAGTGTATCGGGCGACTGATGAGCAGGACTGACGCATGTCTGTCCTCACAGTGTTCACACAGTCAGGCTCATTGATTCTGAACAAAACTGGAACAGTGATTTGACTTCCATTATGTTTCTGTCCCTCTCTCCTTCTCTCTGTTGTTCTTTATGGAAATTCAAGCCTCTGTTTCTCTCTTTTTCTCTTAATGAATCAAACTAATTGCATGTTGTTCTCGGGTGAACTCAGATCAGGAGGATTCTGCATGGCTGTACTGAGTCACAGAAAACCTGATAAAGCCTCAAAGATTTTGCTTTTTTTCCTCCTGAAATAAAAATATTTACAAAAAAAGGCTTGCCCTTCCTCATACCTATGTCTGCTCTAGTACAAACTATGGTATTTTTAGATAGTCACCTGAAGGCAGCATAATTCATCAGCTCAGCACTTTGAGTCTTTCACTGTCAACTTCAAATGCAGAAAAACAGTGAAGCATAAAGAGCTGGAAGGGAAAAAAAAGGCAACACATACGCTGAGATCAATTTGCATCATAACAAACACACTCAACACAAACACACACAGAAAACACACACACCTGTTTAAACTCACTGTTTGTCCACAGATGATATTCAACAAATGCCTAGCTCACATTTAAGTACAATAAAAACTCAGAGTGGGTGAATTCACATTCAGTCAATTCTTGCAAAAATCAGAACCAGGATATAGAAATCCAAGCTAACAGTGGCACGCTCACTGATGGTCAAACTTTGAGTTTGTATGCTAACGTTATCTTTACCTGTAAGGTTCATCCATTTGTAGCTAGGGGGTAATGTAAACAGTGAATTGGTGGTACATTTTCTCATAAACGGTTTTACCTGACATAGCTGCTTATACAAAGCAGTAGACCGAGCTTAAATTATTGTTATAAAAAATTTGTATGCTAATGTTGGCTATGGATGGTATAAGGCCAACTGCTAGCTTTAATTGGCATAAGTTTGCTAAGTATAGTTAGTATGCTAAGATTAGCTTTCTCTGACAGATGCAGTCCACCAAACTAGGAACACTCGGAGCATTCCTGGTCCAATCACACTGTGCGGGAACTTATAATCGATGTTTGCACAAACGATGTCTCTCATCAGCAGTCTGTACTTTTGAAAGGAGACTTGAAAGGTGACCTCTTTGACTTCCTAATATTATGTGTGAAAGACCTTCTTATCTCTAATCTGCTCCCCACTCTCGGTCGTGGCAGCAGACTTCAGCTGCACACCTGGCTTCCATCATAGAGCCGTTTTTTAGCACTGGGTTTTATTGACAATTTTAATCTCTTTTGGACCCACTTCACAGTGTTTAACAGAAACAGTCTTCATCCAAGCCGTGAAGGATCCCGCCTTTTTGTTTTCAGTTGCTGATCAGTTGGAAAGGAAGTGAAATGGTAAAATATCGTCTGATTACATCATTGGTTGCTTGATAACAGTGCTTAACCTTCAAACCCTGAGTCTAAGGTAAGAGAAAACTGGCCTCTTTGTGAATGCGGTGACCTCCTTCAACTGAAAAAGGTCATATAATCCCTTCGTCTAATGCCGAGGAAGAGAAGAGCAGCTATTCAATAAACCTCTCTTCTTCACATCCAGGGTCTGCTATAAATAGCAAGCTTGTTAAATTAACTCTTCATGTGATTCAATCCTTAAACAATGAAAGCCGCGCCTCCAAACATTATCGTCTGTTATCTGCACAGTTGGGTGACATGTTCTGTTTGGAGAGCAAGCAGACGCCAATGTTTGAGCGTTTAGTCGGTGAAGCCGGCCTGTGTTCATCTATCACATTGGCTCTTTGTTTGCTCTTCATCACATGTTACGTGACTGCGCTGACGTCAATTCACACACACACAAACACACACACATATGCTAACTGTGTGTGTCCTCCATAGTGTCTATCACTCTCTGTGTCTTTCTTGCACTTTGTATCTCCCTCTTTCCACACACACACAGGTCCCAGACAGGGGGACAAACTGTTCTCACTCAGCATGCACTCAAAACAGATTTTAATGAAGTCTCACCAGGGATGTGCACACTACCTGGTAGACTAACTTGTTTCTCTTAATTTCCTTTGTTTTTGAGGCTGTCTGACATATTAATCATGTGTGGATGGGTACACGGTGCACCTGTTGCAGCCAATGTTACCTTGTTGATAATCAGTCTTTAAGAAAGGTCCACCTACAGAAAGTTTACCAAAGGTGGGTAAATGTAGGACAGTGAAAGGGTTAGTAGTGTTTGAAAGCAGTTAAAAGAGGTCTGTAAGTTGGTGACAAAGGTCATCTCAGGTGTGTCCGAGTTAAGTGAAAGGCAAACATCAGCCATAATAAAAGAAAACAGACAAATATTCTTGATCATTTGAAAACAGACATGTTTTGTAACTTTTTGACTGATAAGGAGAATAATTTGTGAAATCAGTCTATCATTGAGGGACGGTAGAGCAGTCAACAACCATAAAATGAGCTAAAATATAGTTTGCGTATTGTCAAACTGTGTCCCCTGCAAGTGATTTATTTTACCTCTGACAGGCTCAGATAGTTTCAAGTTCAGAGAACAGAGTCTGTGTACAACCAAATGTAGTTGGTGGAGAGGTGCTGTTCTGACCAGTGTTGCCAACCTAGCAACTTTGTCGCTAGATTTAACAACTTTTCAGACCCCCCAGTGACTCATTTTCAAAAAAGTGCCTAGCGACATATCTAGTGACTTTTTCTGGAGTTTAGAGACTCCAACATAAACACAGGAATAGATGTTACGCTTCTCAGCAGGTAGCAAGTGTGCATCAAAAACACAGACACTCAGACACCCCGTGGAAGACTCCTTCTCCTCCTCCCAGGGATGGGGGGGTCGGTGGCGCAAGTGGGTTTGACTGAGAAATTATGCAAATTAGGTAATGACATCATCTCTCATACGAGATCTCACTTGTTGCAAGACGACAACAGAGGACACGTGAGTGAGTGAGTGAGTGAGTGATGCTGGGAGAGTCAGAGAGCAGTGGGCCGATGTTTTTTCTATTTTAGAAACATGAGTGAATATTTGCCTTATTTTGACAGTGTGGATGAGACCTTTGAATATGATGGCTGACTGTATTTGAGTCAGATTTCCTGGTGTTTGTGTTTTGTTTTTGTCTTTCATTTTCTCTTTACATGTTTAAAATTAGCAATTTTAATTCAACGGTCCAATGAATGCAAAAACCATCTCTATTAAAGCTCAACTACTCAATTGGTAGCCACCAGGTTAGCAAAAACAGATGGCACAAGAAAGAGTTTTCACATTGCAGATCTGATTAAAAACAATGTAAGTCTTCATATAGGAAGACTGCTTGAACCTTTTTCATTCAGGACACTCCCCAAAACTGACAGTCCTATAACCTATGTTACAGGTTTTATGGTACATTCCACATTCTTTGAAGCGAGTGGAACAACATTTTTAAATATGGCATTGTTTAATCAGCTGATATGTTCCATATGAGCCGGATGACGTGTCTCTTCAGATAACTTTCCACAAACTTCTTTCTTATTTGCCCCTCAAACAATCCTTAATTAAAGGGTAACTAGAGTGTGTGCATGAGTGGAAATAGAGCGGACTAATACTGTGTGATTCACAGAGAAACTTCATATGGGTAGAAGTTGCTCACTGACATGCTATCTCCGCTAACGCAGGTTAACTGAGAATGAGCAGGAGGCCTTGCTGATGCACTCTGTATCTCCATATTCTGTGATCCATGTCACACCTCCTCACCAACCCTCTGTAAACACCCAGAGATTGTTTATTCCCTGTATCTCTGCACTTTGCATATGCAAATGGCCCCTGAAGGAGTTTTTGTGCCTGGTGCATTAGTCACTAAGCAACCAGAGATAACAGCTAAATTTTCTACGTACAGTTCTAAAATCTCACCCTCTGTATGTTCAGATAATTCCCTTTAAGAGGATTTTCACAAGTTGTCAACAACACATATTTGCTTCACATTTCCACATGGAAGGTTACTACACTGAATAATCCTTTTAATAAGGATTAATCCTTACGATGATTTTATTTCATTTCTGGTGGCGTGATTTGACTGATAGGAGAGACTGAGGAAAGTGTATAGCACATGATTAAAAAGAACAATAACACTGGCTTTTGTTTCTCTGTAGGGGTGTGTTTATGGCCTGTTCAGGTGTGTTCTGTGAGAACCTCAATGGGACATGATACAAAATCAACTCTTTAATAAATGAGGCAACATGTGTGCAGGAGGCAAAGAAAAAATAACAACTGACAGAATGTGAAATGCGGGCAGAAAAATCTGAAGCACACTTTGTAGTCTAGTCACCATGACATGAATCGTAACACACTTTCTAGTCTATCTAGCCATGTAGGAAGTTGTGCTAAACACACCATCTTAATTATGTGATAATGTGGGGACTAATCCCTGAACATATCTTTGGTTTTTCTGGCCATGTTTGTGCTCATACCTACATACTTTTTCTAGTTTTGCAGCCATATGGAGACTTGGAATCAACACAGGTTACAGGCTGATTATCCATATGGGGGCACTCCTTACAAATGCACATTTACATTACTGGTTAGGCTGGTTATGGAGACTTAAATATTTACTTTGTTGTCCAGCTTGTCATGGGACAACTTGGATCAAAACACATGTTCTTGTTTACTTAGCCATGTGGAAACTCCTGCCAATACACTTTAAGGTCTAGCTGGCCATGTAGGAACTTGTATCTAAACACACTTGCTGAACTACGTAACGATGTGGGGACCAATCCTAGGACATAGTTTTTGGTTTACTGGCCGTATTTGTGCTCATACCTACACATTTCCTCTGGTTTTGCTGCCACATGGAGACTTGTACTTTACTCAGGTTGTAGGCTGGCTATCCATATGGGGATATTCTACCTTCACACACTTAAATTACTGCTTAGGATGGCAAAGGAGACTTACATAGTATATACTTTCCAGTGTAGCCGGCAATATGGGGGCTTGAATCAAAACACCTCCCCTGGCCTAAATAGTCCCAAAACACTCTTTCCAGCCCAGGTAGCCATGGTGGAGCTTTGACCAGTACACACTAACCAGCTTTACTGGCCATGTGGGGACTTGCACCTACACATAAGCTAGATGTGTAGGTACCTCTACCTGAACACACTTTCCTGTCTGGCCATTTATGTGGGGACTAATACTTATTACGTACTGAACTTTAGTCAAGCATTGAGCTTTTTGTGTGAAAAGTCTTTT